TTCTTGGAGTTGTACAGCAATAACTTCGCTTCGTTCGATGTGATCTCCTTCGCCTTCGGGTATTTGTAATAATTCAGTCGCTTCTTTTTCGAGTTTTGTACACACACCGCGATGACCTCGTCGTCTGGCACGTAGCCTATTCAATTTTTCCTTCACTTCGTCGGCCATTTCGTAATTTCGGGTTCGATTGGGCGACTTTATTTCGAAAAAGTCTGCCCCACGTTGGGCGCCATGTTATGCTCGTCGCATAATATTTATCGCATTTCCTCGCTCAATACTTAACGTTCGTTCAATTAACACACGGATAACATTAAAATTATATAAACTTTACTATCAAATAATAAGGTAAAAGACTTAAACATAACTAACGTTGAGTTCGTAACGAAATATTCTCGAACAATCGAATATAATATAGATAATACACGTTCGATCGAAAGAATATGAAACTTGTTTTTTATACTAAAATTCCCGTATGTAAAAGCGAATTGCACGTGTTTAGCCTGCGAACAGGTTCAACAGCCTGCAATCAGGCTCAAAGTAAACGCAACAAATGTTACTGAAACTCTGTTCATGTCTCACAGTTTATCACAGTCATCATCAGGAATATATAAAAAGTGAAAATATATTCCCTTTTTTTTAAGAAAAACTATGAGGAAACAATTCTCTGATTTCGAAGATTCCGCCATGTTGCCGCGAGGAAAAACTCGTTCCAGTCCACTTTCATATCAGCCACGCTGCCTCCTCCGCAGGCCCTCGTTGTGTCATGGGAAGGTCACGATTTCGAGAGGGCCTGCGGAATCTTGTAAAATGGATATTACGAAAGTCACCGAACTGTGGAATCGCATCAAAAATTCGTATATCGACCACTCCCACAAACGTCTACGACCGCGCCTACATAGTTTTGCACGTTTACAATTCTAATTTTAAACAGCCAATTACCAAGAACCTGATTGGCTGTTCAAAATTAGAATTGTAAACATGCAAAACTATGTAGTCGAATGTAGGCGTGGTCGTAGACGTTTGTGGGAGTGGTCGATATACGAATTTTTGATGCGATTCCACAGTTCGGTGACTTTCGTAATAAATGTTGTTTTGAACCTGCTTCGTCGTTCTTACTTCTCTTCCCTCCTCCGATCCAAATGACTCTGTCCTCCATCTCGACGAATTTGATGTGTATAAAGAGCTTGCGTCCCTTAACCCCAGAAAAGCCTCAGGCCCAGACGGTGTTCCGAATTGGGTGTTAAACGAATATGCAGAAGTTCTCGCCCAGCCTGTCAGTTCGATTCTCAATAGCAGTTTTAATGAACAACGACTCCCTGCCTCGTGGAAAGCAGCTGATGTTGTTCCAATCATAAAAACGAAACCGGTAACCGAAATTTGTAAACATTTAAGACCAATATCCCTCACCCCAGCCCTTTCCAAAGTAGCAGAAGAATTCGTTGTTTCTAAATACATTGGGCCAGCTATTCTGTGTCAAATCGACCCCAACCAATTTGGAGGGATACCAAAATCCTCTACATCTATGGCAGCGATATCAATGATCCACAATTGGTCCCAATCAACTGATGGCACTGGCGCAGCAGTCAGAGTAGCCCTGTTCGACTATAAAAAAGCGTTTGACCTTATTGACCATTGTATACTCGCTGATAAGATCTCCAGATTGCCAATTCCGAAGGCAGTCGTACGCTGGACTATTGATTTTCTATTGGACAGAAAACAAAGAGTTAAACTCGCAACCGACTGCGTTTCAGAGTGGGGTGCTGTCCCGGCTGGTGTCCCTCAAGGCACGAAACTTGGGCCATGGCTTTTTCTATGGATGATCAATGATCTTAAAATCACTGAAGTATCTACTTGGAAGTACGTCGATGATACAACCGTTTCTGAGGTTGTTAAAAAAGGCGATACCAGCAAAGCCCAAGACGCAGTTACCACGGTAGAAAACTGGTCGAATTCCAACAGATTACTTCTTAATGCAGATAAATGTAAATGTAAAGTCCAAATCGACTTTAAATCCACGAAACAGAACTTCGACCCTCTTACAGTCTACGGGAAGAAATTGCCGGTTGTCCAAAACGCTAAAATTCTAGGCCTCACCATCTCTAGTAACCTTAAATGGACTAACCACATTAACGAAGTCATCAAAAAAGCTAACAAACGTCTTTACTTCATTATCTTTACTTAAGCGCGCAAAAGTCAGTCCGAAAGACATTGTAAACTTCTACTGTACAGTTATCAGGCCCATTTTGGAATATTGTGCCCCGGTTTTCCATTACTCAATCCCATCCTTCCTGTCAGAAGATCTTGAGACGGTACAAAAGCGATCACTGAAGATCATTTTACCCGCGAACTCATATAGCGAAACTTTAGAATATTTTAATCTTCAAACTTTGTTCCAAAGACGCGAAGAAATGTGTAACAAACTTTTCACAAATATTACTAACAATCCGACACACAAATTGCATAATTTACTGCCTCCCAAACATGAGTCGGTTAACCAACTTAGGAACAATAGACTCTTTGAACGATTCGAAACTAATACAGAAAGATTTAAAAAAACTTTTATTCCTATGTCTAGTAACTTAAGTTAATGTAATTTTTAGTACTAAGCGTTTTAATGACCATTTGTAAATATGCCTAATTAACCCATATTCTATCTTTTAAATAATGTTTTATATACTCTTGTAAATCACGCAATTCAGCTGTTCAGCTGCAAGGTGAATTTTAAATACACTATCTATCTATCTATCCAAGGCAGTTTTATTCGTGCAACGTTGGTGAGGACAACAAACCTTATCGTTAAAAATGCTTCTTTCCACGTCCCAAGAGTCGCCAGTTTAATTTACAAGTTTCACGCCGCTTTTTTATATCTGTTTATATTCAAGATTATGTAGAAATTTACTTGCCGACGTGACGCCGGCGCCATTTTTTTTACAAGATTCCGCAGGCCCTCGCCAGATCGTGACCTTCCCATGACGCAACAAGGGCCTGCGGAGGAGGCAGTCAGCCACGCGTTAAAGTCCCGGCTATTGTCCCGGCTAATAAATTGACTTGTTATTTACCCTGTACCCCGGGGAAAATGGTGCGTTAAAACCGCGTTAATCCACGGCCTTTCCCCCGTTAATTCCCCGCCCTGTCCCGGGGGTCGGGGGGCCGGGGTTTCAATTGACTAGTGCATTAGAAAAGAATATGGAATATTATACACTTAATGTCTGCACCCGAGGGAAATAGTTAGTTTTGTTTTCCCGAGAATCTCAATGTTTCCCGAGACGAAGTCGAGGGAAACATTGAGATTCGAGGGAAAACAAAACTAACTATTTCCCGAGGGAAAAGACGTTAAGTGTTTTGTTATATAGCGACGAAACAAGTATCAACATTGAACAACATTCATACAACAATATTTGTATTTCATGACAAAAACTCTATAGCGTAAACGAGTTTAAAATTTAAAAAACCTACTGAAATGGTTTCAGCAGCATATCCTGTTGCCTGTTATGTATTTTTCTTCTCTTTTACATTCTTTATTTTAACACAAAGCCACGAAAACAGTAGTTTAAATAGTAAAATTTGTGCCGCCATTTTGTTTATTTATGTACGTAGCCGGTCGGGGCGGGCAACAATTTTTCACTTATTGCCCGGGCGGGATACATAGCATTTATCTAAAGCCACGTGACTACAAATCAGCCAATCACGTTTGGTGTTCACACTAGCTATATAACAATGTACATTATTCGATTCAAAAGATTATTTTTACAATGTGAGTTTTAAGCCCATGTCAAAGGAAGACGAGAATGCATGAGAGCTGGCCGTCACGCAATCGTGGTTAGCTGTTCTTTATTATCTTAATACTTTCCCAACTCTCATTTTCGTTTGACCGAGGATTTAAGAACGTTTTCGACTTCAATCGTATCGTATCGAAGTTTACCATAAAATATCATCAATTAGCCTTTCTCACGAAAGTCAAGTTCGCCATTTTTGGGTTCTTTTTTGAAAACGACGTGAAAAATCTAAGCGATGTGAAAACATTTTTCCAAATATTTAATGAAAATTGACTTGTAATGATTACACTCACAATTATAGTTATACAAATCCCTTATTCACTGTGTACAATGTCAGATTTGGAAAAGCATGCAGTACCCCAAAAATGGCGGCGTGAGAAAGGCTAATAGACCTTTCCCCTTATGAGTGAAATTTTGATCTAGACAAGTCTGGGCAAAAAATTCATCACAGCTTGAAAGAGCATCACCAAATTAGTAATATTCCAAAGTTTCGTTGCGAAATGTTGTAAAATGCGGATAATATAGTCTTGCGAAGTTTCCCGTTTTTCAGTCGTTTTGTATTACAATTGGGAAATTGATAATCAGTTTGATCATCTGATGATCAATTTCCCCTGCGTAATGCAAAATGACTGAAAAACTGCAAACTTCGCAAGGCTATATTATCCGCATTTTACAACATTTCGCAACGAAACGTCGGAATATTACTAATTTTGTGATGCTCTTTCAAGCTGTGATGAAATTTTTGGCCAGGCTTGTCTAGATCAAAATTTTACTCAAAAGGGGAAATTAGGTCTATTGACGTGACTCATCCAATGGACGTCTGGATTCAAGAGCCAAAAGAATGTCCGTCCAAATTTGAAACTTACCGATCGAATTTCATTTTGGTCGCACATTTTTTCAGACGATTTTTAACGTTAGTTTAGGTTCTGCGTGTACCACTATACGACACGCATGCAGAAGCCTCTAATTGAGAAAACGAATGGTTATCGACTACGTTGATAAAGTTATACCTCGATCTTGCATAATGTCTTGATCAACTTTTTTCACTGTAGAATTCGCCATATGTGACGCCACTGGCTGAATTTTAGCAGCAAAAACCAAAGTTCTACTCAATAAAGATTATATCTCTTCTTAGAATGACCTAGTAAATATTTCACACCTCAAAATTGTATTTGGGTTAGTTTCATGGTTAGACCAATAATAGACCAATGGTCTTCTTTTTATAGATAAGTTCATATGGTGGTCAATGTATCGTTGTTCAGTGTGATCATAGTGATGATGAGCAAGTTGAAAATGTTTTTGAAAAAATTAAACATGAACAAGATGGCAGGCTGGATATTCTTGTCAATAACGCTTTTGGAGGTGTAGCGGTAAGATTTCTGTCTTCAGTTAACATAGAAAGTGGAAATTTATGAGTCATTTCGGCAGGATGGTTTATGTTTAGCGCAGTGGCGGCACTTCGCCATAGATTGGGGGGGCGAATTAGATTTTTACCAACATATATGATCGCTTTTTGTACCTGGAAACTGTCTTAGTCAGTCCTTAAGAGTTTTGCCTTAAATTTCATGTAATTTTAGCCTACCAACGCATTGATAGTTAAAAACGCATTCAGATAAACGTTAAAAAGGCTCTCAGAAATTATTGAGGAGCAGCAGTTGCCGGCCTAGCCACCCCCCTCACCCTTAGTGTTCAACCCTCGTTCGTCAATTCTCTTACAAACTCCCCCAAATCTAGCATAGTCGAAACATACACATACATATAGTATGTAATATATAACATCTATTGCATGGTAGCAGAGAAATGAAAACAAGTTGCGTTTGTCATTCCATCAAATTAACAATACCGTCTCCTCGTATTTTTTTTTTCAATCGGGAAAGAAAGTTATCCAAGTATGCTATGGACGATTCGATTATTGTTAAGAATAATCGACGCCAAAAATTGCAAGAAAATAATCGATTAGTCGATCAAACGATCATTCGAGAGCAGCTGCATCTCAACTGCAAGAAAAGATCCTTTATCCCCCGTAATAAAGTGCATTGTGAAGAATAATTCCCAAACCCCGAAATATTATGCAGCGATTTTAAAATCCCAAATGTCCTCGCACATACAGCCACCACTTGAAGGAGTATGCTTTGGTTATTATGATTTTTTCTGTATTACTTTATTAGGTTATAATGGAATCTGTGGGAAAATTTTGGGAAGAGGTAATAAATAATTTAAAATTCGTTCTGTGCAAATAAACAGTGTTTGTCATACATTGTGCTCAGCGTCCTTGTCAGGGAAAAGCCATTTCTCATTATAAACGGGTTCCCAGCGAAACTAAAAACCGAAGGTATTTCGAATAATAACATCTTGCGAGCTCAATATGTAGTTGTATGTAGTATATAATGGGGGTATTTCTATAGCAAAAGGTTTGACCAAAGCATTTTATCATATTTTTATAGCCTATTTCAAATTGGGATGCTATAAACAACGTTGGACTAAGGTCAGTCCGTTATTTTATTAATCCTGATTAATTTAATGATTTAAAGTGCTACTGCAGCGAATTTTTCGACCCTCATTTTTTCAGCTTAATTAAAAGTGCTTTCCTTCCTGACCTGTTTACCACAAACAGCATTGAAATTGGTCAATTCAAACCGATTTTATAGCCTTCCAAAGTGGCCATTTTTGGCACTTCCTGTGCGAACTTTTGATCGGCCATTTTGATGCCATGTGACGTCATAAGATGAACACGATTTCATCATGGCGTATTAAAATTATAGTAAAACCAACAAACGCGGACACGAAGGCCGTGTTTCTGGCAGTTCTAACTTAGATTATTGCACGAATTCTGGACAGCCTGAAGGAATACCCATGCATCTATTTCCCAACAAAGAAACAGATCCACAGAGTGAAAGAAAGGCAGTGAATTTTATCCGTAAACATTGACCGCGGGTTTCACGCATCTGCGAACCTAGTAGTGTTTTGATTGACCCCGTTTTGAAGATTCGTGCTATATCTTATTTTCATTGACCAAACCTCGTAAAATGGAAAGAATACTGAAGGAAGAAACTGTTTATATAATTTACATGGCTAGAATTGTTCCCCTGGCTAAAGTACAACTAACAGACGCAAGGCAAATAATTCAGGTATATATTATAGTGAAGTACAAATTAATATGTTCGCACACATGGTGAATATTTTGCGCAAATGATGCTATATAGTTAGTCTAAAGTGTTTAACATTTCTTATGTTTTAGAGCATTTGTGGTTGTAAAAAGACTATCTTGTGTTAAGTTAGTTTCTTGTCCAGAGCA